ACCAAGCCTCAGGCAACCCCACCCTGTTGTCTGGGCAGCCTGGCCCTGGGACAACCTTGTGCTGAGGCTGTGGAGCGGGACGTTCCACTGGCTGAAAAGGGTATGAGACACTGGGCCCTGTGCCAGACAGCTCCCCCTGGCTACCACCACTAGGCATGGAGGGGGCTGGAGAGTGAAGCCGAAGGGCAGCCTGCATGAACGTGGGAAGGACTGGCTAGGCCCTTAATGCCCTACCCTGGAGCCCTGGCCACCTCAGGGCCTCCAGCTGCTGGCAGGCTCTGCCCTACCCCTGCCCACCTGGCACTTCTCCTGTGCTTTGGCTGCAGGCTCCTGTTTAATGAGGCTTTTCCCTAGTTCCCAGGGAAGGCTGGTAGACAGGATGAACCCTTTGTCCACCAGGCAACGCCCCACGCCCCACCCGACTGCTCCTGTCACACACATACATACTAGGCCAGAGGCTGCAGGCTGAGCTGAATTCTGTGGTTTCCTAGGCCTAGCCTGAGCTGTGCTGCAACCTAGGGCTTAACCAGCCTGGCCAAGGAGGGTCAGCTCTAGCCCTCCTTAGGGAGGGTGGTTTGCCCAGAAGCTTGCTGTGGAGCCAACACCCCTCCGCCCCAACCTTGCACCAACCAGGCAGAGAGGGACTCTGAAACTCTCTTCCTAGAGCTGGCACCTTGGAAGTCTTAGGCTCTGCTCCTAAGACTTCCCAGGGTCAGAGCTGCTTACCCAGAAGCCAGGCTTACAGCCCTGAGTGCCAAAGCGCCAGAGCCAGGGCTGGATATCAGGGTCTTCTCGGAAGCAAGATCTTAGACTCAGAAGTCCCCTGTGGTGTAGAGGGTGTCCATCCCACCCTTTGGGCCAGGGCACCAGGCATTTGTGCTCTCAGGCAGTGAATGGTGGAATGCCTGCCACCAGAGTCCCAGGTTCTTGAGGGAGTAGACCCTGAGGCTCAGTCTCCTGACTTTCATGAAGCCTAGTCAGGGCTGATGCTGTCTGGCTACCATTACCCAAGGAACCTATCAGGATCAAAAGGCCCCAGAGGTTTCCAGGAAGCTTCCTACCTTCATAAGCCCTCGGCTCCAGCTCCTAAAAATTTTATAAAGCTGGGTTTTTGCATCTGTGCCCAGTGAGGTAGGCAGGGCTGATATTCTCATCCTTCTTTTACAAGGGGCAGACTGGCCCAGGATCCCATAGTGAAAAGATCAGTAAAAGGTCAGTGAGCTTTGAGATGAGCTTGCCAACTCACTCACTTCACATCATGGTACACTTAAAAATTATCACTGGAGCCCTAACCAGTTTGGCTCAGTGGATAGAGCGTCGGCCTGCAGACTGAAGGTCCCAGGTTCGATTCCGGTCAAGGGCATGTACCTTGGTTGGGGGCACATCCCCAGTGGGAGGTGTGCAGGAGGCAGCTGATCGATGTTTCTTTCTCATCGATGTTTCTAACTCTCTATCCCTCTCCCTTCCTCTCTGTAAAAAATCAATAACCCTGACCGGTTTGGCTCAGTGGATAGAGCGTCGGCCTGCGGACTAGGGGGTCCCAGGTTCGATTCCAGTCAAGGGCATGTACCTTGGTTGCGGGCACATCCCCAATTGGGGGTGTGCAGAAGACGGTTGATCGATGTTTCTCTCTCATCGATGTTTCTAGCTCTCGGTCCCTCTCCCTTCCTCTCTGTGGAAAATCAATAAAATATATATTTTAAAAAAATAAAATATATTTAAAACAACAACAAAAAATTATCTCTGGAGTAACTAGAGAAGGAGGTTGGAGGCCGAAGTACCTATGGGAAGTCCTTGGCATAGAGTGTGAGGAAGAGAGGGCAAGGTAATAGGGTTAGAGATGGAGAGGGGGCCTAATCGTGTAGAGCTTTGTAGGCCCAGGTAAGGCAATTAGAGGCTTGAGGCAAAGGAGGATGTGATCTGATTTATGTGGCTGCCAGATGGAGGCCTGGCTGAGGGGGCAGGAGGCTACTGCAGTCATCCAGGTGAGAAGTGGCTGTAGCATGGACTTGGTGGGGGATCAGGAGGAAATGGTTGTTTTCTAGGTATATTTTGAAAGTAGAGCCATTAGGATTTGCTGACAAACTGGATATGGGTGTGAGAGAAAACGAAGAGTCAAGGATGACTCCAAGGTATTTGGTCTGATCATCTGGAAGAATGGAGTAGCCATTAATTGAGGAAGATGGAAAGGAGCATTTGGGGCAGAAAGTCAAAGGTTTTGCTTTGGACATATTGAGTCTGGGTAGCATTTTAGACCTCTGAGTAGAATTTATGAGTAAGCATTTGGAGAGGGGAGTTCCTAGGAGAAGTTAGTACTGGAGATATAAATGTGGAGTCATCAGATGAAGATGCTTAAAGCCATGGATGAGAGCACCCTGGGAGTGAGCTGAAGGCCAATTTTGGGTCAGGTCAAGAAGAGAATGAGATGGAACCAAAGCTGAGGAATAGCCTGTGAAGTTGGAGAAAAATCAGGTAAGTGTGGAATTCCATTGTGGAAGACTAATGAAGAAACTGTTTCGAGGGAGGAGGAAGAAATCAGTGTGCCCAGTGCTGCTGAGATGACATGAAGATAACATGAAGACTGAGAAGTGACCACTAAGATCAGCAACATGGAAGTCATGGAGATCTTGGCAATAGTTATCTGGCGAAGTGGATAGGGCAAGAGACTAGCTAGGTTGAAGAGAGGATGAGAGCTGAGAACTGGACAAGTGAATGTGGACAGATCTGTTGAGGTTTTCAAAAAAAGGGGGATTGAAACATGAGGTAGTAGCTGGGGGAGGATTTACAGATGTGAGAAATGAGAGCCAGTGGGTACCCTGATAGGAATGAGACTGGGCTTGCAAAGTGTTTGGCATAGTGCCTGGCCTGTGACTGGTACTCACTATATGAAGGATTTCACATGCATCCACATACCCCACAGCTGTCCCAGCCCACTCCTCTTTCCAGCCACCTGCAGACCCGATGATCCTACATCCCACCTTCCATTCCCACACATACTCCCAAACTGTCACAGTTGTGTCTGAGCTCAGTACTGGAAATAAAAGCCTGAGATTGGCACAAGACTCCCCCAGGAAACCTGGCCTCACAACAGCAACAGGAAAGTCACAGCACCCAAGGCCTGGGGACTGAATGGTGCTATCATTACCCTCTCCAGGTGATGCTGCCAGTGGGCTGCCAGGCATGTCTGCCATCTCCAGGCAACACTCGCCTCCCCTCAACTCTCCACCCCCACTTGGCATATCAGGCCTAAGTGTCTGGCCTGTGTGGGGACCAGCACCAGAGGGCTAGGGAAGCACTATGAGTAGCATTTCCTCTGCACCTGTGAAGGCTTTGTAGGATGAAAAAGGGGCTTCCTACATGTCCCTTCCTCATTGCCTGACACCTAAGTAATTGAGCTCTTGGGTATTGTCTGGTTTTATCCTCACAACAACCCTCTGATCATCTCCATTTTACAAGGAAATGTATGGTCAGATATTGTAATAAGTTCTTGAAGGCCACACATGTTAGAAAAAGGATCTGAACATGGTTGGCCCACTCTTCCTCAAGTTCACAGCAGAGAGCGCTCCCTGGGAGTGACAGAGGGAGGCTCACCTGCCCTGCCCAAGGAGGCCAGGAAGGCTCCAGTCAGAGGTAAGGCATCAAACTCAGGAAGGTGCTATGGTGCCATATATACGCCAGTTGCAAAGGAGGAGCCACTGCTATTGGGACATCTACCCGTCTGCCTGAGGACAAAAGGAAGGCTAATTAGCTCTGGGATATAAGGTTGCTCCTGGTGGGCAGATGAGCAGGACACTGATAGGTGGCAGTGACAGTACCTTCCCTAAGCCCTGAGGGGAAGGATGCAGTTTATAGCCCAGCCTCAAGCTTCCATGGGGGCAGGAATGTAGGAAAGAAGGAGGCCAGGACTGTTGCTGGGAGGTATGGGAGCCTGTGCCCTGGTAACCTCACACTTCGACTCTATGCAGTTCATACCCCATCTTCCCTGTAGCCTCACCCTGGACCCCAACAGCCAGTGCTAAGAGACCTGTGCCGAGATGTTAAGGATTAAGGAGTCTGGCTAAATTCCACTAGTGGGAGATTTCACCCACAGGGCCACAACCTCTCATTATTGTCTTGGCCCAGAGATGTCCCATTCCTTCTGTGCCATGGATCAGAAGTCACTCATCAGTGCTCCCAGCATCCCCACAGATGGACTTTCCTGAGTGGAAGTTTGGCCTCAGTTGTAGATGATGTCTCCAGAGCCTTGGCCCATACAGATGTGTGCTCAGGATATGCAGAGCTGGGCCTTGGCCCTGAGCAACAACTCCCTATGCCTGGGTCGCATGGGGAGCCCCCATCTCAGCCTGACTGAGTCATCTCATGACAGATCCATGTGACTAGTATGAAAAGTAAGAGTCCTGTGGTGTGAGCAAACAGGAAGTGTGAGGTTGGGTGGGTTGGCCCTGGGGGAAGCCTGGCCCCACTTAGCCCCTCCCCTGAGTTAGAGGGCTGAGTGGGGGCTCTTGCCTGTGTCAACAGATCCTATTAAGCCTGAGGTGGCACAGAAGGTCAAAGTCAGGACCCCTAGTCTGGGGGCTGGAGGAGGAAAGAAAGCTGCTAGGGTAGGTCAGCTCCTCAGACCATATCCTGATGTATGGGCCTAGAGGCTGTGAGCAAGTCATAGGGCCTCAGAAACCGGAGGATCTCTGAAACTGGGAGGCAGCAAGAATTTCGTGGACAGGGAAGATGTGCCTCCTGGAATTGAGTGCACACTCTCTACGAGGTGGGATAGCTTGGGCAAAGCCTGGGGAGGGGGAGGTGGGCAGGAGGGCTGGATCACTGGACACAGCCTGGTTTGAGTGGTACCCCCTCCTATGAAGACTGTGGTTTTGACCACCCCCATTTTCCTTTGACAATTGGGCTGCCCCCCCCCCCCCCCCACACACACAGCTATAGCCCCAAGCCCTGTGCCTTCCTGCCTCAGGTCTCCCCACAATCACCCATCCTCCTCATTTTTTCAGCACAACAAGGCCAGTCAGCCTGCCCATGGCGTCCCCCAACTCTCTCCTCTCTATGAACATTTCAGCAGTCCACACCCCACACCTGCACCGGCCGACATCAACCAGAAGCAAGGTACAAATCCGGGATAGGAGGGGCCCAATGAGACAGGTGGCTGGATCCTTTTTACAACTAGAGAACCTAGTGCTGTGCAAAATTGGGGCCCTCCTAGATGCCAGAAAAGTGGATCAGGGGACCTTGGCGGTACCAGAGGGCTGGGGGAGGTGGTGCCAGGTCAGAATTTGAAGGCTTCAAGTTGAGGTAGAAACCTAAATCCTGAGTGACCTCCCAATGCCAGTATGAGAGCAGGCATTTGTGTAAAGCTGATTAACTATAACACTTGTAGCCGTTCCCTCCCCCAGTGAGAAAATGGAAAGTGGTGGTTGTGATGGCTGATTCACCTCAGCCTCAGGCAAAGTCATTCTGAAATCAGCCACTGTCGACTGTGGGAAACCTGCTGACTCAAAGGGGGTGCTCGAAACCCTGGCTCCACAGGCCAGGTTCCCCCAGACTCGGGGGGGGGGGGGGGGCAGTAGAGGCCCCAGTTGCAGACTATCAGTGGCAAGGCCTGGCCTCCCATTCCTGAATGACTCCAATTCTGCCACTGACCAGCCAGCTTGTAAATGCAGCACTGTTATCACACTGGGGTAGTCCTGAATAAAGCCATATGTATGGTACCCTAACATGGAAGGTGGGATCTTAGAAGCCCCCCACAGGAAGCTCTAGAATGCAGTAACTAGCTAAAGTGACCTCCAAGTCAGGCTAGCTCACTTACCCGGCCCTCTCCACTGCAGTTCACAGGCCTCTGCAGACCTCTGACCTCTCTGGCTTCTACTCTCTGACCTCAGGCAGCATGGGACAGCTCCCCCACACTGTGAGCTGGTGAGTGTGGGCCCAATGGGAAAGGGACACCTCCTGATTTAGACTCTTACCTGCCCTTCTTTTTTCCATCCTGTGCCGAGCACCCTGCTGCCAGTTCTATATACATACCAGAGCTGGCCAGCAGCTCTATCATTCCTCAGGTAGCCTAACATATTCCCTTTGGCAAGACTGGAGACTAGGCTACGGTCCCAGCCCTGTCGCCCTTGAACTCTGTGCTTCACTGTCTGAGACTTGAATGAGAGAACCTTGGACTGTTCAGGGCCATCTATGTGAGGAAGAAAAGGTAGGCCTGAACAGGGAGATAACAGCATGAATGGCCATAAGCGAGGCTGTTGCTTCTCAGCTACCTGGTGGGCAGGAGGATACTTCCCACTCACCTCAATGCCTACTGCTGGCTGGACCCTTCCTTGGCTGAGTTGCTTGAGGGCCAGGGTCCCTCCTTGCCTCAATTGTGCCTGCTTGAGCCTAAGCCCTGGGCCAGTCTGCTTGGAGAGCCTATTTAGGCTGGGCCAGGAAAAGCCAGCTTAGACCCCAAGTCAGTAGGCCCAACTGTGGACCAAAAGGCCTGTCTTTGGCTTGAGTTGGGTCTGGCAGGCTAATTGGCCCTTTGCTCAGCAACCACAGTGTGACTTGGGCAGGTCTTTAGCCTCTCTGGCCTGGGGCAGTCACTTAACATCAGGAAAGCTTGGCTTCCCAGGAAGGCAGGGTAGGTCCCGAGGCCCGATCTAGAGGCCCATCTGTCCCTTTCTACTTGCCCTTCATCCAAGTTAAACTGATTCCTCTATTTCTAGATTCTCCTTGGACAGAATTCCACTTTGAATACAAACCATGACTACCTCCATGAGTACCCCCAGGTTTGAACTTCCCAGGCAAGGATCTGGGCACCAGAAAAGCACTGCTGAAGCTTGCTGATCCTCAGGTCCCCGTCCTCACAGAATTCACTCTTAACTAGTACACAACCCAGACAAGTGGCCAGCCAATTACAAGGCACTGTTAGCAGTGCTTTGACGGGACTGTAGGAACCCAGAGAGGCACCTCATCTAGTTTGGGATGTCAAGGGCTTTCATTTAGGATGACCAGGAGCTGAAGCAGGCAAAGTGAGCAAGAGAACAATCCTGACAGTGTCGACAGTAAGTGCAAAGGCCCTACAGATATCAACCCTGTACTGACAGGGACATTTCATTTCAGGAGGCTAGGCTGGGGGGGACCTGGGGGCCTGCTGAGCTGGCTCCCCAAAGAATGCTGTCATTTCTACCCCTTAAGCACCAGTACTAGCCTGTAGAGCAGCGGTTCTCAACCTGTGGGTCGCGACCCCTTTGGGGGTCAAACGACCCTTTCACAGGGGTCGCCTAAGACCATCAGAAAACACATATATAATTACATATTGTTTTTGTGATTAATCACTATGCTTTAATTATGTTCAACTTGTAACAATGAAATTGGGGGTCACCACAACATGAGGAACTGTATTAAAGGGTCACAGCATTAGGAAGGTTGAGAACCACTGCTGTAGAGGAAAATAGGTGCAGCACAGGTTGCCCTCTGGTGGCAGATGCTTAAAGCACACATTGGAGTGGTCCAAGCAGAAGCCAATTTCTCTCATCTATGGGTCAGGCCTGAGCATGGAGGGAAGTCCTTCCCCATATAGAGCCAGTAGCCAGACTGCTAACAGCTGTCTCTCCCAACCACAGGCCCAGCCCTCCTCTCTATCCCCTGTCCCCTTCCTGCGGATATAGACAGCACTTCCCTGCCCCCACTGCAGCCCCTGGCGCCCCCTATCCCAGGTGAGTCCCCTACCCTGCAGCCAGGCTCCTGCTTTCTGTTGCCCAGGCTTCAATGCCCACACAAGGCCATGTTCAGGCCACTGCTTGCCCTGTGCTAGTTGTCTGTTCATCCGTCTGTCTGTCATTCTGCAGCACCTTGCTGCCCTGTGTCTGAGAATGAAGCCAATGGGACTGCAAGAGTTCTAAACCCAGGCCAAACTGTGCAGCACAGCACCACAAAGCAGCCAGGGACAGTACATGCACATGTGTGCTTGAGCTCCTGCCTCTGTGCATGTGCAAGTCAGTCCGTGTGCAGGTCTGTATGCATTCATCTCTGTTCTGCATCCCTGCTGAGGGAAGGGCTAGTCAGAATTCTCCTGGGCATTCCCTGAGCTCCACCCAAGCTGAGGCAGCATTTCACATGTGTCTTCAACATCTGGCCTGCTCAGAGACCCTACACCAGTGTAAGCAGCAAGAGGCAGAGTGGTAGCCATACAACAGCAAGAAAGTAAAGTGGGAGGCATGTGTATATGTAAGCCCCTTTACTTAGCTCACTCCTTTAGTGACAGATGTATGCTAAGTATGGAACAAGGAATTCAGACATTTTCAGCCCTATGGAGCTCAACCCTGTGGGTGATGGGGAAGCCCCAAGGAGACCTCAGCCAGATTTGATGGGTCACAGAGAGCTTCATAAAAAGGGTTAACATCTCCTGAGTAGGGGATGGCTGGAGGTGGGAAGTGATGGGAAATGGGGGAAAAGGTGGGGCTAGAAATGTCAGCAGGGCTGTAGGCAAAGGGAGAACTTCAGCAAGGTCAGGAGCACGCAGGTGTTTTTAAAAGGTCACTCTGGCTGTTGTGTGGAGAGAGTCCTAGAAGAGTCAGGAGAATGAGGAAGCACACAGGGTAGTCACAGGCTCATGAGGCTGAGCTGGTGAGGGCAGGTGGTGACAAGGGGAGAGATTCAAAAGCTATGGAGGGCTTAATTTAGTAACCACCTAAACGATGAATATATAGATCTTTGCAATGATGTCTTTGTGATGTGTTGGGAGCAGGTATTTGTATGTATCAGTGTACTTGTATGCAAGCCAATGAGGGTGGGGTATCTGTTCACCTGTCGTTTAATGTGCAGGGCCTGTGTTTGCCAGGGTCTGTCCTGCACACACCTGACTCAGTGTTAACTTTCTCCTGCCTCTAGGTTCACCCACCCATCCCTGATGCTAGGTTCCAGCGTACCTGGTCACCCAGCAGCCATTCCCCACCCGGCCATTGTGCCCCCCTCAGGGAAGCAGGAACTGCAGCCCTATGATCGAAGCCTGTGAGTGAAAAGGCACAGAATGGGGAGGAGCATGGGGGTGGGGACAGGGGAGCAGACTTCAGGTTCCCATCTATTTATCAGCCAGGATACACATTTCTTCCACCAAGCCCAAGTCTTGCTGCCAGAGGAAGCCTTTGGTCAAACTATTTTGTAGCTATTGCCACGGGCCACTGTTTTTTGAGGCTCTGAAGCAGGAGGGATTGGGTAGAGTGAGAAACAAGGCTTTAGTCTGAGCCAAGATGGGAGGGGCTGAGAAGTCCTTACACATACTTTTCTTACTTAGCTGCAATATTCCTATAAGGAACAATACTTAACTCTGGTCACCCATTTTGGAGCAGCTAAGAAAACACACACACACACACACACCAGAATTTCACTAAAAGCCCCCTAGTATCCATGCACTTACACATGCACTGGACACACTACAGGGTGGTAGCATTAGGTGTGCACGTGGGGACTCCCAAGTGATCTGGACATGTGCTCCTCAGGAAGACGCAGGCAGAATCCAAAGCAGAGAAGGAGGCCAAGAAACCAACCATCAAGAAGCCACTCAATGCCTTCATGCTGTACATGAAGGAGATGAGAGCCAAGGTTATTGCAGAATGCACACTCAAGGAGAGTGCTGCCATCAATCAGATCCTGGGCCGCAGGGTGAGGCCACAGGCAAGGTGGGCTGGCAGGGGTGGTACAAGCCTGATGATTGCCTTACACATCCCATCTGCCCCTCCTTCCCCTTTGCAGTGGCACGCACTGTCACGGGAAGAGCAGGCCAAGTATTACGAGCTGGCCCGCAAGGAGAGGCAGCTGCACATGCAGCTTTACCCAGGCTGGTCAGCGCGGGACAATTACGTGAGTGGCCAACAACACACAGGGATGGGTAGGGGAACCTTCAAGATTCCATGCCCTGGGCCACAGCCTCAGCAAGAAAGGACTATTGTCCTGAAGGCACAGATGAGGAAGGTGGTAGACTGGTGGAGGGTCCATGGCCTCCCGTGGCTAGCTCAGGAGAGGATCAAGCAAGGGGAGCCACCCCTGAAGGCAGACCCGTGTCCTGTTTTCTACCCAGGATCTATTCCCATGCAGGGCTGTTTCCCAGTATTTGATTGGGGCTCATGAGCAGAAGGGGAGAAAAGGGCCTGGAAGTTACTCTTCCATTCAAAATGGAGACAAGTGTGAGAAAGGGAGGAGGAATCCCTAATTGCCCCATATTACCTAGCAAGAACTGCAATCAAGAACCTGTGCCTGGAATCCTAGCCACAGCCCGGCTAGGCAGCAGGCTGCAGGTATCCCAGCCATTTGCTCACTGGGATTAGTGTCCTCCTCCCACATCTGAGGATCCCTCCCTTTACTCCCTGCAGGGGAAGAAGAAGAGGCGATCCAGAGAAAAGCACCAAGAATCCAACACAGGTGAGGCCTTCCCTCAGTAGTAGTGGAGGCTCCTCTCCAGGTCCCTATGTGACAAACAGCACTGCTCTAGCCCAGAGGGAGGGGCAGAGTACTTGGCCATGAACCTTCAATGCCTGGGCCCTCGACTCTGTATACAAGGCCTGGCATCTCACAAGTCAAATCCCTACTTTAGGAACAACTATACTAAGTCCTAGGGGTGACCAGTAGAAGCCAACACACTCCCACTACCTTGGCTAACCCTACCCTATTCACAGCTTTGCCTGTCAGGGAAAGTTAGTGAGGAACTGACAGTCTGATCCATGTTAAACACAAACACTGCATCCTGGTTAGTTCTGAGGTGGATAGCAGATTGTCTGGAGACTGAGCCAGGCCCCATACCTAGGCCCAGTGATCACCCAGCCTGCTGGCTGGCGCCCAGCAATTTCTCTATCACATTGTACCCAACTCCCAAGCCCTGTTTTTCACTGCAGGTTCTAAGTGCTCTATATAGAGGACCCAGGGCGCCCACACTCTGTTGCAAGTCTCCTTCCTGTGAATAGATTCCTGCCCCAACTCTGATCCACATTTATGAATGACTTTCTCAACAGTGCTGTCCCCACATGCTACAACCAGGGCAGAGCAGACCTCAGCCATTTTTCTGAAGTTACAAAACGGGCTTTACTTTCACATAGAAAAGTGTGTGGAGATATGGGTCAGGCAGACAGAGCATTCACAAAAATGAAAAATAAAATGGCAGGGAGTTTTGGGGTGGAGGCAGCCCTAAGGAAGAAGAGGCTGGATCTGGATCCCCATAGGCATTCCTGGATTCTTCTGCCACAGCTCCCATACTGCAAGTGGCCCCTCAAGCCATAGAAAGGAGCTAGCCTGATATGGTCCCTTCTCTTCCCCACCATTCTTCCCACTGCCTCTTCTGCCCAATTGGGTGCCGTGCCCGCCTTTCCAAATATCTTGACTCTGGGCGCTAGGGCTCCCACTGGGGCTGGCTGTGCCATGGAGAGGCCCTCTGCCTGTGGGGGCTGTGGGGTATCTGTGACTAGCTAACACTGATGTTACCTCTTCTTTCTGGGCCCTGCTCTGCCCTGCTGCCTGCCTGCTCGCCCTCTGCCCTGCTCTGCCCTTCTGGCATGGCTGTGAGCAGACCCTGGCTCGCCTAAGAAATGCCGTGCTCGCTTTGGCCTCAACCAGCAGACGGATTGGTGTGGTCCGTGCAGGTGGGTTTGTCCCCACCACCATCTTCCCTTTGCTTCAAGCTGCTTCCTTGACTCTGCACATATTCTGCTGGGCTTATATAAACCTTCCTGTGGCTCCCCAGCCCCATAGGATACCTGCAGATTAAAGAGCCCATGCCTTGTAAGAATGGGAGTGAATACTGAACACATCTTGTAGGGAAGATCTTTTGGATCTAAGTGGAAGGAAGGGAAGAGACAGAATGTTCTAGAAGGGAAGGAAAGGCAGACTCAAGAATGTAGTTCTGGTGCCTAGGATCCTCGGGTAATGATGGTTTGGTGCTAACTAGGCCCAACTGGTCCTCAGTAGCCAAACCTCACACCATTCAGGTGGCCTCTGCCCCTACTCTCAGGCCTGAAAGTCATAATGGCCAACCAGCTCCATCACTTCAAGTTGAGATCCGTCTGAGCCCGTAAATCTAAGAAAAATAAGGTAACTATAATAGAGAATATCATGAGTAACCTGGATGCCAAGTGACTCACCATTTTGTACCTACTGAGACCAGAGGGCTAGAGAGGAAGGGAGAGAAGAGGAGGGTTGTCCTAGCCAAAGGACCATACAAAGGTTTCATCTCATAACAGAAAATATCCCTGTGTATAGGGATGAAAAGGTGTGCCTATCAAGTGGCTAAAAGTTGCCTAGTTTTAGGTTCATGCCAGGCCTGATATGGCCAAGGCTGAGGCTACTCTAGGCAGGTAGTTCACTAAGGAATATTTGAGCAGCCCCTCAGAGTGCCCTCATGCTTCTTTATCAAAGGGTAAAGAGAGATCTTGGATAATATGTGTGTGCGTGTGTATATAAACATGATGGGAGGCAACCCTGTCCCTCAGGGAAGGTCCTACTTTTACCCATTCCACAATCAGAGACAAATTGTGGCCCAGAGAACTCAAGATAGTAAGAATGTAGAAGACTCAAAGAATCACTGTTCATTTCTATTTCCCCTTCTCCACTCCTAACCTAGCTTTGAGCTCTGAGATTGCTCAGTCCAAGAAGCCACAAGCATTGCAGCCCCTTGCCTTAATGCTGATCTGAGCCCCACAAACATTCAGAGGCTCAAAGGCTCTCCTGGAAAACAAAGCAGTCCACAGGTCCAACTACAAAAGGTCCCTGTGCCACCATGTGGTGGTGCTGGCAAACTGCACCTGTCCCAGGTCTGGGCCAGGCCCAGCAGAGTTGCAGTGCTAATTCAGGTCTGAAGGATAAGCACATCCAAGTACTGGGGAGAGGGGATGAGAGGTCAGCTAGGCCTGTGCAAGGACAGCATTTTTTGGTTGTGGTGTGTGACCATGAATTCACCCTCTATTTACAGATAACTCTCTTCACTATTCCTAGGAGGAAAAAGAAATGCATTCGGTACTTACCCGGAGAAGGCCGCTGCCCCAGCCCCTTTCCTTCCGATGACAGTACTCTAGGCTGCTCCGGGTCCCCAGCCCCTCAGGACTCACCCTCATACCTCCTGCTGCCTCACTTCCCTACTGCACTACTTGCTAGCCCTGCGGAACCGGCGCCTACATCACCAGGTCTCTCTGCGGCACTCAGCCTCCCAGCTCCCTGGGCCCCCACGGGCCCCCAGCAGTGCCCTGCAGAGTACACAGGTACAGCAACAGGAATTTCGGAGGCAGGCAGCCTAGCAGGCACAGGACACCTGGCCTCCTCCAGGGACCCACTCTTTGAGAAGCAGCAACAGAGCCCCAAAGCACGTGGAAACCGATCAGGGGCCCTGTTAACTTCTTCTTAGGGTCCAGGTGCTGGAGATTTCAGAGGCTGCACAACTTCTGCCTGAACCTGGGGCCATCAATTCAAACTGCTCCGAGTGGTGCATCAGATCTGTGTTGTCAATTGATTTAAGGGCATCTCCTGTGCCGGTGGCAGCCTGCGTCTTTTTACCATCTGTCTGGTTAGCCAGATGCCCCTGCCTCCCTTCCTTTCCTGCTATAGATCATAGATGGACTATCCTGAGTTCAGCTGCTTTCTCTACCCTGCCTCCTCACTCCCCCTGCACTGCCACACCCTCCCCATACCAGACACTTCATGGACCAAGAATGAGTTGGTTTATCACACATGTAAGCCTGGTCACAACCACAAAGCTCAAAATGACAGTGCTTTTCTCTTGAAGGCCTGGAAAAGCCATGTTTTACAAAAAACTAGCTACCATTTTTAAACTGGGCCAGAGAAATCCTGCCGAATTCTCAGGAGCTTATAAGTGGATGGGATGAACAAGTTAGTTTAAATCTATACCCTAGGCAACAGAAAAACCTGACACTACCTTAATCTGGCTCTCTACTTCAAATTACTTGGAAATGATTCCTGAGAAACTCTGATATCAAAGGCCTAAGAAGCCCTGATATCAAAGCCCCAAGGCCTGTTACTAGTGGCTGTAGTCAATAGTTCAAAGAAGTTATGGCCCCAAATCCAGTGTGCATCCCTCCCCATTCTGAGGGCCTTTGTTATGGATCCATTTCCAGCTTATCCACCCCTTGGGCAGTGTTGAGGGCAAACCCAACCTTTTGTGACTGCCAGTATCTTTCAGCATGAAACCAGGCCAGCTTCAGATTTCCTATGGTTCTGTGGGAATGAAGACTATTACAACCAAAACAATAAGCCCAGAAAACCTTTAGGGATAGACACTGGGTTTTCACCACAGCCTAATTTAACCCATTTATGAGCCAAGCTTCAACCCTGAGCCTTTAAAAAAATCTTTTTAATTTAACTTGTTTTTTTACCTCCTCACCGTACATAGCCTGAATCCAAAGAAAAAGGGCTTGTCCCTGTACCCACATACACCCTTCAACAAATGCCTTTAATACCTGCTTTAGCCACTGGCTTCTCAGATTCCAAAGATCATCTATTCTAGTGTAGTGTTGCAGGAAGTTTTGAGGAAAAAGGACCATTGTAGTATTCAAAATATTTTTGTATTGTTAATGCATCATCATAGAAAAACGTGAGAATAAAGATACTTTTTCCTGTTGTTTTTTTCCCCTCCCCCCCAAAGCTTGACCCTGAGGAATAAGCTGTTTCAGAAATAGGATGATAATTCTTTTCTTCATAGCCATGAAACTTGGAGTTTCTTCTCTACTATGGTACACATGTTAAAGACTCAACCTATAGAAGCCGGGGATTACTCTCACCTCCCCTTAAGGGGCTTGGGCCTGCCCGGCTCATGCTGTGGCTCCCATTCCAAGCCTTGCTCTGAACCCACCAACCCTCTGACCTAAAAATTAATGCAGGCACAGGCCAGCCTGCCTCCCACCCCCATGAGACTATGTTGGAAATGGCTATCCACAAACCCTAAGACAATCCGACTAGAAATAGATGTACAGACCACTAGGCTCCATTTTCTTTGAGAGTTGAGATTAGACTAACCACTCTATAAGTACATATCCTATTACAAGGAAAATAAGTCTTTATGTACTGGTATAAACTCCAAAAAAAATTAATAGAACGCTTTCCTCCCAAAAACTGTATTAAGGTGCTTGAGGTATCTCCATATTTTTATATAAAACCTCTGAAATTTGATAATTCTACAACCTACTTTTTACACAGCAGCTTCCATTAAAGTACAATGTTAACTTTAAGACCCATCACGAATGTAAAAGGTGTCATAAAGCCACCTCAATAGGTCAACCAACCACTGGGCCACCATCATGCATTGTAATTTTCACTGAGTTATATTTTTTGGATTTTGTGTGTCAGAGTAGTGTATTTAAAGTAGGCCACTGGAAATTGTAATCTTGGAGTTGTTTCTGGAAGGGTGCTAGAGGAGACCAGCCATTCTCTTGACATCTGTCCCATTTAAAGAATTCCACTCTGGCTACTGGCCTAGATGTTTCAAAAAACTACATTCTAACCAAGGCTTATGCAAGACTAGGTTGCTGCATCTGATTAGATGTCTTATTTAGAGTACACTGGGTACATGAACAATGCACTCTTTGTGTATGTGAGGGTAGAGAGGGGGGCTTTGGCAACATTGTTAAAATCAAGCCGGCCTTTTTAAAAAACTGACATCAAAGAGGAAATTCAAACCCTCCTGGATCACACACATTCCTATGAGGTCTCACGGTGACTTGAGAGTGTCCAATTCAACTTCAAATACCATACCAGTTCCACCTTACTGCCAGCCAAGAACCAGCCCCGTTTTCTGAGACCTGAGACAAAATAACCTAACACATCCTGTACATGTTCCCACACAACTGGCATATTTGCTTGAAATACAGATCTGGAGCCCTCTCCCGTTGCAGCTGCTCCCACTGTGCTCAGGATATTGTGATGGCTTAGCATGGCAAAACTAGCAGGGATTTCCCAATTTGAAGGTGTTTCTCCCTTTTATAGGAAGTCCCAGGGCTAGGATCTTCTGAGCTGTTAACTATCTTGAATGGCCCAGAAGCATAGCTATTCATTGTACAATAATCCTGGACAGGAAGGCCACACCTGGAGGGAAGAGAAATAGTTCTTTACTTTGTTCCAAAAAAGGAATTGATTACTGTGTGCATCACTAGAAAAACAGCACAGAAGGAATTTGTCAGGCCTATATATCAAAGTAGATTTGAGACCAAAAAATAATTCGTATCATAAAAACACTGAATTGGCTTTTGAGGTTGGAAAGGCTGTTTTAGCATAAGTTTTTCTCAGGTCTTTTCAGAACTTCAATAGTTCACCATGGGTCCTTGAGACCAAACTGGCTATGCAAGCAGATCCTGGTTCTTGAGTCAACTCACCCGATCCCAATTATTCCAATCACTTTCTTTCTGAGATCTCAAATCACTACAGGACTCTTTAACTCAGGCTTCTGGGCTCTCCAATGTCTGGAGCAGCTAACAGATTTTTAATTGGTCTTCTATTTAAAGTAGGCCACTGGAAATTATAATCCCAGACTTGCCCACAATGGACATGGTTGTCTGAGAGGAGCCCTAATTTCATGTATCCAAAACAGCAGAAAGTTTTTAAAAAGAACAGATGGGGATATTCCCATAGTCAGTTCTGTAGAATAAAAGGCTAGCTCAGGTTAGGAGAAATTTTGAAGTAGTTAAAGATAGTATGGGATTGGGCATAGAGTTAATTGGAAAGGGCAAATTCTATCCTAGGGTTAGGAATTATCCTCTCCCTGGCTATACTCATGAGTTAGATCACTAGCAATAAAAGTAAGGGATATTTCAATAGCCATGAATTATATGGGAGATAATTAGAAGTTCAGGCTAACACTTATTTCAAGTTCACGAGAGGCTCTGGACCATCAATCAGGGTTTATTTCATTCAAGTGTTCTCTCATTCCTTAATCGGAAGTCTTCAGACATGTTGTATAGTCAATGTTAAGGGTGGGGGAAAGAAATATGGAGATGGAGGAGTTACGGTCTATTCACCACCACCCCCAATGCCACTCTGGAAACCCCTTGAATATAAATTTCTGAGAGTGTAGTGCTCTGTATTCCTACCCCTCCTGTAAATCATACAGGAATACCTGTAAACCATTTGAAGCAAAAAAAAAAAAAAAAAAAAAAGTTGAGGTTGTGAAATGGCATGGTCAGCACAGAAAGGGCACATGAATTTGCACCATACAGGTGGGAAGTATTAAAAGTGAAAAAACTTTTATGAAATAGGCTGATCCTCAGAGTGAAAGAAGAGACTGGTATATAGCAGGTTAGGTGCTCATTAAATACTTCCTGAAAATATCAAGTTCAGTGGTATCAGAAGGTCATGAGAACAAGAGAAATGGAAGCATATATTGTGAGCAACTAACTATACTTCATCCACAAAATGCCTCACACAGAACAGCTTTATCCAAAAGTGCAAAATTCTGCAAGCTAGCAGTTAGCCATGAATTAAACTATCACTCACACGAAGTCCCACATTGGAAATCTGTCAAATAAAGAGCACTTTTATACCACCACCAATGCTCATAACTACTGACAACTCAACAGGAAGGACCAAGTGTCCAAATCCTGTTTAGGTGTCCAAATGACTCAATCTTGGACCAAGGATGTTCTAAACTTCTTACATCATTCTTTGTCTTGATATATACATTGAGTTCTTACTCATTCTTCCTTCTTTTTAAAGATACAGTGATTTTAAAAATATATTTTTTATTGATTTCAGAGAGGAAGGGAGAAGAGAAAGAGAGAAACATCAATGATGAGAGAATCACTGATCGGCTACCTCCTGCACACCCCACACTGGGGATCGAGCCCACAACCTGGGCGTGTGCCCTACCGGGAATCAAATGTGACCTCCTGGTTCATAAGTCGATGCTCCACCACCGAGCCATGCCAGCTGGGATAAAATATAGTGATTTCTGAAAAGAGTAAAATAAGGAGTCTAGCTGTAAAAACCCTAAATATTCAGAACACTTTAGTCCAGCAATTAAGAAGTTTTAGTTCTAACATTCAAAAATAGCAATGTAGCCGGAACCGGTTTGGCTCAGTGGATAGAGCGTTGGCCTGTGGACTGAAAGGTCCCAGGT